ACTGATCCTCCTCCCCTTTAAGCCAAAGTAAATCAAGAGTGAGTCCACTGGAGCCAATGACATTTTGTCAGTATAAAGGCAGAGAAAAATACAAGTGTTTGAGTATTTGCCACTTCAACCTAGAGTGTCTGTAGAAACATTTTTAACCAACATCTTGCAAAAGTTCTAGTTTCAGTGCAATAATGATGGGAACCCTAATGTAGGTGAGGTGCCAATGGGTGATTTTGTCATTGCTCCAGGCAAGCCTGACAGCAGAGCTCCAATCAACTCCTCTCTAACATCTTCTATCTTACATTTATTAAATTCCCGGTGCATTTCAGGCACAGAACTAATTGTTACCAGTTAATCAAGATTTTGAAGGGGTGTAGAGTGATTAAAGCACATGTTGGTTGGCTGTCAGTGAGATGTAGAGACTGTGAAGAGGCAAAGCATTTTTCTTAGCATTGAAGAATTGGTTGCCCAAGTAAGGGAGATGTTTTCTTCTGGACAATTTATTGTGAAATCTTTATACCTACATCTTGTTTTCTAGGCTTTAAATTGTTTCCCTTTTCTTCCCTAAAGATTAAACCTCATCCAAATCAGCCTATTTCAGCTATTGTTACAGGCGCTTCCCAAGTTGCAGTCTTTTACATATATTGCTGATTTGTTTGATTTCACTACAATGCCTTTGCTATTACTCCACGCTTTGGGGGTAAGACTGTAAACTGCTGGTTCACAGTTGTCAGTTTTGAAACAAGAAAGCAACTGTTGGAAAAAAACAGGTTTCATGATCCCCCCCCACTCAGATTTGGTATATCATCTATGAAATTACACTGTTGTCACATCCAGGGTGAGAAACATCCAGCCAGTGATGGGGGAAAGGCGTAAAGTCTGGCATCTCATGTTCAGGGCCAAAATGAGAACAAGTTATTTGGAAAATGCAGTAAAATAGAGGAGCTCCAGCTGAGGCAGAACGTTGTGTCCCCTAGGAGGTCCTGTGATATCAGACTTGGTGGTCACAGCACTTTGCAAACAAGCAAGGCTCCCTTTTACCACCCACCAGTAAAGTTGCCGTGCCCTTCAAGAGGAATAGGGGAAGGCTTCAGGCTCTCAGACCTTAAGCTGATGCTGACACCATAGGATTCATTTCATGGCTCCAGGACTCCTTGGAGAAAGTGCTTGAAAAAATATCCCAAATTCTCATTGCATTTCTGGCACAATAAATGAATTTGGAAAGAAACTAGATACTAATGCTTACTGTACACACAGATCTTCTCAAAGGATTGCAGTCAGCATGGTTGTGTATGAAGCCTTTCTTTTCACTCCCTTACCTCCCAAGCTATTAAATTTCACATTATAAAGCAGGCCGCAGAGCCTTACTCAGGAACTCTATGGGCTGAAAGGAGAAAGAATTGCCATGACCCAAGCACCTCCCAGGAAACCCTCCTTGTTGATCAGGGTAGCTGGTGAAGATCTGGTGCCCTGGACACGGTGGGAGCAGGCTTTTCTTTGCCACCCATTGGAGGCTTCCCTTTCGCTTCTGCCTCTGACTGGGTTTTCTGGCAGCATTCAACACCTTCCAGCATCAGGGGGTTACAGTTGTCTCCCAGATGGCTCTGGGCTGCCCAGCCCAGGCTGTGAAGCATTAAGATGTTCATTCACAATGGCACTGCTTGTGAATTTCCCTTTTTATTGAGAGAACTAAATCAGACAGCTTGATGTTACCCTCTAATTACTTTTTACTTCCAAAGAGGGCGTTTTAAGTGCACCAGGGAGGACAAGAACTGCTGGAAGCTACAGCCCTGCTCCTCTCTAAAGAAACGATGGTCATGGTCCTGTCAGTGGAGCTGGAGCAAGGTTAGGGCTTGTTAGTGCTTTGGATACAATATTTAATCTTATTATAATTTTATTATATTATAATTTTTATTATAATTTTTCTTCTATCAACTGAAAGAGAAAGGCATTATTGCTGGAGTAACAGGTCAAAAAACCCCCCAAAACAATACTGAGTGAGCTGCTGAGTTTTTCTTTTAGAAATGAGTTTTGAGGATCTCGACCAGTTGCAAGTCACAAGCATTTTGCAGCCATGTTGGTGACACATTAACTCACATCTCTTTAATCGCAGGGAGGGGTAAGGTGGCAGTACTGGGCTTGCTGAAATCAATAGTGAACCTGCTATTGATTTTAATTGGGAGCAAACTCGGGTTTGGGTTAAGCTATGTCTTATGTGTGTGTGTGACTAGGGAAGGGGAAGAGAAAGGGAAGAAGCTCTATGGCTGCGTTCTTCACTTGTTCTTTACAAGAAGCTGGTGGTTATAAGGATGCACAACCAAACGTCAGCTTCTTGAGTGTCTGTGGCCAGCAGTCGGGCAGGCATTGCTGCCATCCTCTGGAGAGCCAGGCTGAGGGATGCCTGCAAGAGCCACGGGGTGTCTGGGACAGGCCCCACAGCAGTGGTGGGATGGGCCCTCATGGTGTGGGGCTGGGCATCACTCCACATGGCTTTGGGCCAGGGCCACTGGGTGTTGACCTGGCCTGCTCAAGGACTTTAAAAGCCAATTTACATTGCACTGGTCTCTGCCTGCAACAGCCAGAGTGGGAATCATGCCCATGCTGCCTAAAATAGCTGGACACTAGAGCCACTGGTGCGAGCTGTTGTCCTCTGCTACTCATTCCATGCTCACATCCAAAAGGCACTGCTCACCTGGACACACAGTGCATGAATATTTCTTTTCAAAGGTGTCCTCCATACTGAAATCACAGCCTCAGTTTCAATTCCATTTTTTATTCTGTAAAAGTTTAATATTTTGCTAAAAGATAGTATAAAAAAATATTCAACCCAACAGTGTGATTGGAGTAAAGCTGTATGCAGACAGGTAAAAAGATAGCTAGAAAGCAGGAAAAGCAGGATGTCTAATCACTGAAGAACAGTTATAAAAAGCAATAAAATTAATATCTACATTAAACTAGCAGTGCAAAGAAACAAACTGGAAGCAGCTTTACATTAAAAATACAGCTTTTTAAATACAGAAATAGCACCAATTTACAAAAGACAATCAGAAATGTAAACGTGGCAGATAGATTCAAGTATAAGTTATATGCTCATCCTCCTCAACAACTGTCTTGGGACAGAAAGGTTTCACAAACCCTGCAGAACATCCTGGGTACGCACTTCGCCTCAGTGCAAATACAAATTCTGCTTTTCCAAAGCTACTTTGCTGATGAGTTGTTCCTAGTTTATTTAACTTCTTTCAGTGAAGGTAAAGATAGGAAAGGTAAACTCATTCCCTCATGACCATAAACTCTTTGCCCTCACTGGTCTAGTTCAGCAGCTCAGGTACTGAAAGTAGCCTTGATCCCTTTGCTGCCCAACAGCTTTGGTGGTCCCACTCTATTTTAGTGAAAATTTTGCATTGTCAAAACCAAGACAGCATATCAGCATCCTTCCTCTCCCAGACCCAAAATCTGCTTTCCCAAACATGACCCATTGAAGAGGGAGTCGATCCTCATTTCCAGACCTGCTGTATTTATGGAAATCCAAAACTAGAAGCAGAAATTGGAAACTGAAAATTCATTTTCAGTCCCTGCATTTTCAAGTATAATTAGGTTAGTTATGGCACACAGTAACATTACTGACAAAGAAAGGCAATTTTGGTGATGATGCTTCAACTGGAGCAAACAGCCAACACTAGCTCTAATGCTCCTCTCTGCACCCAGCTGCCATTTCACTAAAAGGCAGCACTGTACTAGAGGGAAAGAGAAAAGACAAGTTTGGAGAATCAGCACCCGCCATGTCACCTGGAACCCTAGCAGCCTGTTTCCTGCCCCAACAGCAAGACATGCATGTTAGCAGAAGTGCAGGGGCAGCGCTGTGCTAATTACACACTCCTTTTCAAAGAATAATTAATCTAAGTGGGTGTTTTATTATTTCTTCTAAGAAGAAATAATCCAGAAGGAAAAACTGTAAACTTTCATAACTGTAGTGTCATTAAAATATAAAAAAATTAGCAGTCTGAAGATGTCTCTTTACCACCCCTGAAATTTTCTATGATAATTCTGCTATAGATTTTCTTTCAACAAGGGCTAACCAAACCCTCCTTAAAAAGCTGTTATTCGTCTATTCTAAGAAAAGGCCACATTACTCAAACTCTCAGCTTCACTAAAATTCTTTCTTAAATTTCATTTTCATAATACATTTCATTATAAAAATAAACCCCCTTCATCAAATCCCCAATCCTCAAACAAAGTCCTAGCCTCCCCTGACCTCAAAATAGTACATCCAACGGCATATCTACGCTTGGAAAATCAGTACCAGTACCAAAGAGAGAGCTGATCATGCTGGCCTTATGTTTGCTAAAAATCCAGAATAATGTGATGTTAAAGCAACACTTTCTGTCTTTTAAAAAGGAAACTGCACAAATTTAATTGCAGCTTTCTCTATGAGTGAAAACATACCCAAACATAAGAGCATTAACTCTTAAAATTATGTCCTATATTATTAATAGCACCATCCATTATTTGAGGACTCTGAATGTTAAGACTTTTCTTCCTCATTACCTTCTCCTAAGGCGTAAAGATAATTTTTAAATTTTTTTTTATAGTAATTTCAAAATTTGAGGCTCCTGCTCTTTTCAGCTTCTTTTTATAGTTTAGATAGACAAGATCTCCCTTGTCTTCCCAATATGCTCAAATGCTCTATTAACTAGCTCAAATGCTAAGAGATTCCTGTAAGTGAAGAGTTAGGCACTTAAGCACATACCCCTTAAGTAGACAGCTAAGTAGGCACTTAGTAGACTCAGGTTAGACTGAATCTAATCATGTGGTTAATGACTTACCAGTGGTCCTTGGTCATAAAGTCTACATTAGATATTTAAACAGGAGATGAAATCTTAGCACAGTCCTCTCAGTGGCTTGTCACTCAAATTATTCTGTCAAACCTATTTAAGAAATCAGGTTTTGTATTCTTTACATCTAACTTGCATATTTTGCTTAGAGTAGAAGTAAAAGAAAAATACAACCCAAGGACTAATAACAGTTCATTAACACAACTATAAAAATGTTAACATTCACAGTTATTTTGGTCTTAATATTTTTCATATGTATACATTCAATCATACTGTGTTATTATTAGGTTTTTCTAACCACAAGTGCTGGGCAAATTGTACAACAACCAACTGACATTCAAGTAATCCTACCCTGAGAAAATCTGTTATTCTGAAGCTGCAAAAATCCTTTTTTGCACTAATCCCACTCCAACATACAAAATAAATAGCAAAAGGCTGCACTGCGGAGGCAGGATTTGACAGATTGGAACCAAGGAAGCAGTTGCTCTCACAACTGCAGAAGTTTATCATTTTCACCACAGATTTACTCAGGGTAAGTAGAGTACATGCAAATAAAATGCTTACCCCAGATAAGTGCTAGACATCTCACTTAAAACCACAAATAAAGAACCCCTGGGGACCCCAAAATCTCTTTGCATCTCCTCACAGCAATAGAATTAAAATCCCAAATAAAATTTGATGCCCACAAGGCTGTGTGAAGCACAGAATCTGAATTCAAATCAGTACTGAAGGAACAATTCAGTAAAAGGATTTCAGTACCAAGGATGATTTGTGAAGAAGATGGTTAACAGAACCAGTGGGTACATGGGGAAGCATGCTGAAAGGGGTGACATTTTAACGTGTTCCTCCTGCCAGGTAAGAGCTTGTTCTCTTATAATCAATAAAGGGTCCTAAGCCAATCTGTCCACTCTTCGCACAGACTGGCATTAGTCAGGGCTGGTACCAGAGATTTCCAGTCTCCTCTGCACAGAGCTGGCATTTCTGATCTGGTTGCCTTCATTTTTCTTCCATGCCACAGGGTCTCCAAGACTTCCAGGAGTTTTGAAAAATGCCTCATTATGTGCAGGACGAATGCTCTTGGGAGTGAGGGGAGTTGATGAAGGCTATTTGTGAAACAAAACCAAAGTGATTCAGTAGGGTTTTCTCAAAGCCTACATGCAAGCATACAGAGGACAGCTGGGAGACATTAATCCCTGTACCCTGCTACTAGAGAGAACCACTCACACATCCTTTCAGAAGCTCCACATGAAAAGCTATGGGCTTTGCCCCTGCTTTTTGTTCTGGAACTGTATGCCAGTACATCACTGCTAGAAGATGAAAGCCTCTATCTTATTTCCGACTTAAATGTTTTCATCATTAGTTCATATTCATTCATTCTTATGCCAATCTTGTCTTTTAGCTTAAATGGCTCTTTCCCTTCCCTGATGTTTTACTCACTTTTGTTATTTGTTAGCATCAAGAGAAATCCAAAATTAGTCTTCTAAACCCTGATCACTTCTGTTTTAGGTGCCACTCTACTGTAACCTCTAATGTTAGTATCTGTAATAAGATTGGCTGCCAACCAGTCTCTTATTACAGCCTTTTTCTAAAGCTCAAACAAGATAACAATAAAGTAATGTTCATAAAGCTTCCAAATGTTCAACCTGCTTGTCACTGCATTAGACAATAGGAAAACAAACCACAGATTTAAGAATGTAAGCTGAATTAGTGTCAAAATGTCACTGCTAATGGTTGTAAAGACCCAGGTAACACAGTGTGACTCGAGTGTTTTCTGTCACTCATTGTATTTCAGATAAATGAGTCCTCCTTCACTTTTGGATTTCTCATTTTTTTACCCAAGAGCCTGTTTCTATGGTAAATTTTTAAAAATATCTGTATAAAAAATATCAACAAACACCACAAGAATAGTTGGTTTCTCTCAGTTCTGATGCTGCTGTTACATTTCCATTATGTAGTGAAGAGAGATCAGAATGGGGCTGAGGGGGTAACCCAGGACACTACTACCTGAAGAAGTGTTGCAGCCAACTGACTCCTGAATTCTGACAAACAATCCTCCTATCCACCTAATGTGTTTCTGTAGCCATTGCATAACACACAATGATAATGTCAAATGGGGAAAAAATACTGACTTAGATTTCTGGGGGATTTTAAAATTCCTGTAAGAGTTTTGAAACTAACCATAGATGTGCTATGCTGAGCTATGTCTTCAACACTGTCCCAAGCCCTGTGCCACTGCTACAGATGGACACACACAGACTAAGTGGAAGACACCAGCTCTCAGTGTGCCAGCTCACCACTCTGACACAGCAGCACCAGACTGTGGCACAAAGTGATTTCAGGCCCTGTGACCTGGCATGTGTCTTTCATCATCACTCCCTCACACCTTTCACTCTTACCTGCTGCAGCTTCAGAAGGGTCACTGGGTGCCCCACACACATGGGGGAGTCCAGTTTAACAGCACTGCAAGATCTTGTAAGCACAGGACTCAGGTGCAAAGCAGGGTGAGCTGGTTGCTGTAGATCCACAGAAGGGGCAGGCGAGACCTTGGGGGTGACCACTGCTGTGGTGCTTATGAAAACAGGGGTTGTTGATGCCAGGCTGGACATACTGCAATTCATGGAGGCACCAGCTGAGAATGAACCATCAGGAACTGGGGAAAGAGGACTGGTGAATGAGGGAGAACAGACGAGAGGGAAGGAACCCAAGGCTGCCGATGGCACCATGACACAGGGTACACTTAGAGAAGGTAACTGGTTTGAAGCCAGGCTTATGGCACCAGGGGCTTGGTTTGCAGAGAACAGGAAATTGAAACTGCTTAATCCTAAACCAAAGAGAGAGAAAACAAAGCGTTAATACAGTTGACAAATTGGAAGTAAATTATTGTAACTTCATCCAGAATAGGAAAAAGGTGTGAAAATAAAGAAAAGTCTGACTAGGAAGTAAACTATGGCAAAAATAATAAAAAATAAGGAAGAAAACTGTCACAAATGCCTGACTCTTCTGTCCAGTTGCTTTTCCTCACCTTCCTCCATCTCCCCCCCTACTGTTTGTTCCTTGTACCTGCATCCACTTACTTTGGTCATATTAAGTACCAACCACACACATCTTGCTGTTTTCTGCTTCTAACTTCAATTAAAAGCAACATCCTGGCTAAACAAACTCTTTTTTTCACTAACAGGAATCATATGCTCTGATATATGAAAACATATACGTTGCTTTTAACAAGAAAAAAACCCCAAACTAAACCAAACTTAACAGATGGGAGTCACCCACAAAGACAGACCAGAAAGACATTAATTTTTCTGAAAACAGCTGAAATACTGTCTTGAAACAGAAGCTGCTCTGGCTTCCAGTTTGTCTGACCTTCCAAAACACCAGGATCAGCATTTTCAAACTGACCATCTCCATCTAAGTCATATCCATAGACCCCACTTGGTGCCACAAGGGAATCAAATACTAATGCAGTAGTCATGGCAATCTGGCACACATGTCCTATTCCAACAAAACAGTCTTTCACTGTACACAAACACAGACACAAACCATGGTGGACACAAAATTCTCTTGCAATATTTTCAGCTGCTTCCCCTCTATCCCTACAGTGTCCTACAAGCAGGATTGGCTACACTTGCAGTGCCTTGGTTTTTGGGAGGTTATCCTGACGATGCATATTACAAGACAGTACAAAGTTTGTAGGTGACTAAATTCATCCACTCAGGGGAATGCTGTTGCTGTTTTGGCCACCTTACTGCCAAACCTAGACTTCCAGCTCCTCCGAGTTTTGAATGCTGGATAAGTGTCCATTTTGCTGCCCACAATTCAAGCATGCAAAACTCACATTAATTATCTCTATTAATGTTTGAGAAAAATGCCTGTCTTTTCAGAAAAGCAGCAGTTCACATGAAGTCAAGATAGTTTAGAGCTATTAAACTACTACAGAGAACTGCTGTCAGGTTTTCTTTGCCCAATATAGCCTTATTCACCATATTTGTAGGACTTTGTAGGACACCATATTTGCTCAGTGAACAGATACAGAGGTTTGGCTGTCCTTACCAGTGGTAGGCTGAAAATAAAGATATTGTGGTTGGAAAGGTTGATTGGCATTTTCTCTAGAGATATGCTCATTTCCTGGAGGGGGTTCATCAGGGTCTGTGTTCTGAGATCGTTTTTGTTGCTCCTGACAATCTAAAGACTCCTTGCTTGCAGCCTCTTGAGCAGCAGGACTTGCGAGGTCAAGACGATAAGTTTCTAGATGTACAGCAGAGGGACAGCCATTTCCTGGGGTAGATTCACCCTTGGGTGACTCAAAAGGCTTCTAAGCAAAAACAAAAGTGGAAACAAAGAATCCAAACTGAAAAAAGACAGTGCAATGCCTCTCATGCATCTTCCTCGCCTATGGAATAAAATGAGTATCTGCAAAGGAGCAGCACAAACTTGATTAGCAAATCACCAAGTTAGAAATTTTGATTGAGGGTTTGAAGAGCCATATTAGTGATGCCTGAGCCCTGTGCCCTTTGCTATAGTTCACTTTCAGTACTTGGAAACACTAGGTAAGAAATACCTGATCTCTGGGATTATTTTTTTATTGATAAGGAAAAACATTTGTTTCAAATGGTTTATATTGAACATTCAGATGGCTTATATGATACGGCCTTGAGTCTGACCCCTACTTTCAGTAGTTAAGAGAACCCTGAGACAGCTACACATCACCTTCACCATCATCTTTCTCTCATCAGTCTGCTGTGGGCAACACCAAACTTGAGAGAGAGGGACTCAGGCTGTAGAGTAGTGGGAAAGTACAAATAATATCTGCTATAGCTCAAGAGAATAAGCAATGCTGCTGCTGTCTGGGAAAGCCCAAGCTAACAGAGGAAGATGAGGAAGAATAGTTACATTGATTTCTTCCCCTCTGACACACTGTTTTGTTCAAGACAACGATCAGGACACTGCTTCCAAAGAGCAGCTGAGCATCACATCACTAGGCAAAGCAATCACAGTCCATTTTCCCCCGGTAATGTGAAAATGTCTCCCAGTTAACACCTGTACTCCCTGACACAGCTCCCTTACAATTTTCTTAACATGTGGGAGGCAGCATTTGTATCTCTAACAAGAGTGGTGTAGTGAGTTTTCACTTCTGAAAACATTGTCTTAGGCAAAAGTCTTTCCTCACTATGAGAAAACCTAAGTGATAACGAAATTCACTTTACCTTGGGTACTACAAGTGAGAGGGGCAGATCACTCTGCTCCATAGTCTGCTTCTTAGCAGGCGGCTCTTCATCATCTGCAGGTGACGAGGGTGATGTGCACTTGTGGGAGCTGTGTTTTTTGCAGACAGCTGAAGGTACAGCAGCCTGAGGTTCAGCACTCCTGTCTCCCTTGTCTCCTGCAGTGGGGAGGGTCTCGCTCAAGTTATTTTCCAGAAGACCACCACACAACATAAAAAGGGATGAAGATGGGAAGCACAAGAAGGGTTGGTTGGGAATCAGGGTAGCTTTTCCATTTTCTGTTTTGGAAGCTGCAGGCATGGAAGGATGTGGAGCTTGGCTGCTGATGCCAATTGGTAGTGAGAGGCTTGGCACCTCTGTCTGAACCACAGGGAAAACAGCCTGAGGCAAAGGGTTAACACAAAAATCAGAGTCCCCAGGAACCGGAATAAGGGAGAAAGGTGAGGTTATGCTTGAGTCCCTTGCTGAATTTAGTATAGTTTCTGTGCCACAAGCTTTATTCCTAAAAAAAACAGTAACGAAAAGAAGAAAAACATTTAGCCCAACATTAAACCCCTATTTTATCCTTAGAAGCAAACAGGTACAATTTTGGACATAAATGTGGAAAAATTCCCCCCCCAATCACTATTTTTACACAGTTTACAAGGAGGGTCACTTTTTAGTATTCCTAATAACACAGAAGCAGACTTCTCCGGCTTTTGGTGGAACAATAATGCTTTTGGCTGCACTTGACTAGAGTCAATCATTCACAAATGAATTCAGATAGGGATAGGTGTACAGAAGACAGATGAGAAACAGAGACGCTCTTCCACAGAATCATGATTTGCTCAGCTTATATAGACAACAGGTCAAAGGACACAGGGATGACCTATATAAACTTACATGATACAAAGAACTACAGAAGCGAAACAACAGTGGTGGTACAAGTACAAGTGGGTATAAAATGACCACAAAAAAACCTGCCATGCTGACACCTGTCAGCATTAAAACAGTAATAACGAGACTGTCTGGCAATTTTTTTATCTCAGTCTCTGGAATCTATCCTTAAACTAAACATGACAAGCACAAAGGTGAAACTGGACAAGAGTTAAGACCAACCTACCTAGTATCTTCCTCTATTTTCTGCCTGCAGACAGCTGCTAGATTTATCATTTTGGAACAATATTCATCTGAATTCACAATACCATCTGAAAGAACAAAGAGGTATTCAGTTTATCGAGCGTATTTTGATACTGGCCATATAAAATAATTGCTATAATCTTTCAGTCCTGAGACATTTTTATAACATCCACTAATCACCTAGAGCCAGAACCTGCAAAACACTCAGAACTCTCAGTCCCGCTGGAGAGGTGTTCATCATCATCATTTCCTATATGAGGGGACTGTGAAAAGCCCTGTAATTGCTTATGTTTTTCAACAACTATTCATTAGATTGTTACTGTAAAAATTCATTACATTAGGAACCATAAAATAAACAAGCATTTTGTGGCTAAAGAATCTTTCTTTATCTATGCCATATTTTAACATAAGAAACTGTAGTATAGTTGCAGTTAGTAGAGAACAGAAATATTTACCAGAAAACCAACTGCAGATTTAAAACAATATGGCCCAGATTGACCTCATCTAACTTCAGGCACCTGACTGGAAGGTCTAAAAGACAAATCTCATCATCACATGGACAGTAGAAATATAAGTACCTCCCAGGAGTAATTCACATATTTAATTACACTGATTCAGCCAATCAAGCGTCTTAAATTGGTGGGTTGTCATTTGAGCAGATACAGTGGGACACAAAAGAACATGTTTCATTAGTAGTTACCTTGCCTCTCTTGATGTGGGCTATTGGGCTCAGAGCTGACCTTCCTTCTGGTCTCTTCAAAAGGCTGTGCACCATTAAATGAAGCGTGACGCGTAAACCTTTGCTTTCCAGTAGCACAGATCTGATACTGGGCACAGGCTCCTCTCTCTGTCCCTGGCAGAGAATCAGATGTTGGGCTATGCCCTCTCAGCTCATCTGTAGGGACATAATTTTGTACAACAGTCCTTCAGGCAACACAACTCATTTAGGCTTCTTCCATGTTACCAAACTTGGGCTTAAGGAAAGACGTAACCTCCATACTATCTCAAACCCCACAACACTGAAACAGATTTAGAGCTTCCCTCCTATCCATTCCATAGTAGCCTAGAGGAGAAAGGGTACTAAGATGGCATTAACATTATCCTTCACTTTTACTTGGTGCTGGCACTGGCCTGACCCAAATATCAAAGCCAAAGGGCTTCCCTCTGCTCTGGCTTCCAGACAAGAATCATCAGCTTACAGAGATGCTCTGTCCCACCGCCTCATTCTTTGCACTCAAACCTTTTGTACAAGGGGACATCTCCAAGAAACCTGCTCTACCTTGGTAAGTCCCCTTACAAAGACAATAATTCACTGTATAATTGTTATGGAATTACTGAGATTTTGCAAATCAAAAAAGCTGTGGACCCAGATTTGAAGACGTTGGCATTATCTGCCATTGCTCTACAATTCCTACAGTTATGCATATAGTTATCTAAGTCAGTAGACACAGTATCCTTCAACATCCCTCCCCAGCCCCAGCTCTTGAGCACAAAGTCTAATAAGGGCCAATGTTGAGCTGGCAGCAGTTAATAATCACAGGGTACACAATGAAAGCTGAGCCATTCTTTCCACATGGAAAGCAACCTTTACCACTTGGGAAGGGCCTGTCAAAGCAAAAAGAAAATAAGTGCAAGCTACACAAGTTACCAGTCTTTCCAGAGAATTCCACAGGCCCAATCCACTTGAAGGCTGGTTTGCGTCCTCGTTCCTCGGTGACGTGAACTTTCTTGATCAAGCCTAGGCTGGTGAGAACGTTGGCAATATCATATAGTCTTCGTACCTTTGCTAACAACAAAACACAGAAATAGTTAAGACAGTCAGGTTTCAATGGATACAGTATATAAGTAATTTCATTCCAGAACATCAACACAGCTTTCACAAATGAGGTGGGTAAAATCAAATTGGGATGCACTTAGGCCACCTCCTATGAAGCCTGCCATGCCAGCTCTCACCTCATTGTCACTGCTGCTTCATATGTTTGCTGCTCAGGTTTAAGCTCATCTACCTCATTTCGATGGAAATAGGTTAGGGAATGATTACACCAACAATTTTCCCAGAAAAGGCAGCTGCCTCCACGTGGGGTAAAGACAAGCTGGGGACAAGAGGTACAAGAGTGCACAGCTGATCCAAAGAGGACACATGTCCATAATTTTTAAAAATTGTAACACATTCAGAAAAATCTCTGTGACTCTAGTAAACAACATCTTTGAGTTGACTATGATACCTACATGTTGCTCAGTTATACTCCTCACATTTCTCCTGATATTTGCGGTAGAATTTTAAGACTGAAGTGCAAGTACTTTATTTTAAAAGTACTTTAAAGACTTAAAAGTCTTTATCTTAGAAAAATTATTTACTAATGCTGAGTTTTTCCATGCTGTCCAAGGGATTGAGGTACTAATCCCCACTAACTGAAAAGCAAAATACCATCCAGCTGTGAAAGACTTCTGGGGTAAAAAGGAGAAGTAGCACATTTCTGCAGAGAAGAGAATTATTTCCATCAAATTAAACATCATAGTTCAATAAGTTCTGAAACATCATTCAGAGCAATACAGGAAACAGGGTTTAAGTATGAAAGAAAAAATCAACCAAAAAAAAATAATTTCCTTCATTCTGAAGCTAAAACTTGGGAGATAATTGTCAAAGTGACTCTTCCCCATATCAAGCTCTATTTTCACAAACTGACACTTGCAATTAAAAAACCCCAAACCATACTTCAGCAAAAGATTCATGACTCGCTCTTGCTGTTACTTACTGGTGTCAATCCAAACATGCCCCTGTTTTCTTTACTCACTGATTGATTCATTTGCCTCTCATTAGGCAGCTTACTTTTAAATTTGCTGTGGTCCACTGTATCCTGGGTTTCTTCTATCAGTATCTTTGCTGCGATGTCCAGAGTGACTATCTTGGTCTTGGAGACAAGGAACAGCATGACAAACTTTTGGCTCATAATCCGCAATGACTTGTCCTTTCTGCTGTTTGCAGATGCTGTGTTACAAATAATACCCAAGCCTCTTAGCATATGTCATCCATCACAGCCAGAAAATTAGTAAGTAGGTTTCTCACGCGCAAAAGGAGCAAAGTATTTACTTGTCAGGAAGCAGAAATCTTTTGAAAGGCAGCTGAGTAATGCAGACAGAAGTGTCTCTTCAAAAGGCAATAAAAATTGCAGAAATAGCTTCTAGAAAGTCAGATTCCAAGACTGATGTTATGCTATGTTACACAGTTTTGTGCCACTATAATTTCGTGACTCCAATGGACTTTGTAACTTAAACCATTATGTGTCACATGGGCAGCATGAAACAGTGGACAAATGAAGAGATGGCACCTTCTGGCAGGATAAAGTGTTTACTGTCAGGTACAGGTGAGTAAAGAACTAGAGTATCTAGTAGAAGTTCTGCTAGTTTGTAGCACAGAGGGAAAAATCTGTCTTGAGACCTATGTTAGGAACAAAATAGAAGGAAGAATTCTGCACCCTCCATGGTGAATTCAGCACCTTTTTGGGAAGGATAATTTTTTATTATTTAATTTAAATGCAAAGCAAGGGAAAAAGTCACATGGTAAACTGAGAAAGAGATTTGTGTCTCTGTATTATCACACTCAACAGTTATCTTACCAGAGCTGCAATCTGGTTCTGAAAAGTCCAGTAATGGTCTGTCTTGGGAATGAGGAATAGTTTCCTTTTTCCGTTCTCCAAATTTGTACTCTAAGTCCTGCTCCTTGTGCTGGAAGGTCATTACCTCTCCATACTGCAGCTCTCCTGCTTCCTGAAGCATTTTCAGAGTTTGGCTGAGGTTGTGCCGGCCATGCCAACAGTACTGGTTCTTGGCCACACGGCTAACCAAGTGCAACGACTCCAGGACATTCACTATATCATAAATTCGTCTCCGTTCAACTCCTGTTTTAAGGTTGGGGAGGAAAGACATAGACGCTCATCAGATTTAATGTGCTGTTCAGCAGAAGGGAATAGAGAACTGGCTGTTCTCTAGTACTGAGTGTCCACAACACATTTTTCACTATTCATCTGGACACATCCATATTTGCACAATTAAGACCTGATTTATGTGTGGCCAGCCTCATTGTATGCTGCTCTTTGTCTATTTTCTTAACTTCCCATCCAGCCACGGCTTCAGTTTAAAGCACTGCGTTTAGAACTGATTGCAGTCTGCCCAGCCTTGCTCACTAAGACCTACCCAGACTGCCTTGAGGTTTTCAGAGCATTTTGGCCCTTCCTGACAGAGAGCTTCAGAGCTCAGACACATAACTGTGCACAAGCCTGTGTGTAACAGAGGGCAGTAAAGGGTCTGAGCCTGGCACTGACATGGTGTAGAGATAAAAGCCCCTCATATAGGAACTAGTGCGAGTGTGGTCCTCCACTTGCGTTTCCAAGGGCACAATTACTTTTACTTGCTAAGCAAGTACCAAGCAAAGGAGCATTAAAAGTTTCACAGGGTGCAAAGCAGTGTAGGATGTGACCCACTGTTCCCAAATGCAGCAGAAATGAGTCCTTGGTGCTGGCTGGTTCTATACCTATGGGAAATCTATGAAATATGCCCAACTTGAGTTCAGCCTGACTGATGTGAGCAAGGCTGGGGACTGCTTAAGAACAGGTTGGTGGCTCTGCTCACTGTTCCAAGTACTCATGTCCCATGCTGTTTGAAGCATGGCTGTTATACATAAAACAGGGCACTATAAGCTGGTGGCATCATCTGAACCTGAAATGCCCTAACAGTTAACATCAGCAGAGCAGAACAAGCGCTAGTTAGGGAGAAAGGTTTTGAAAGACTTCCCTGTGGAATGCAAGGTCTTGATGCATCTGTTTACCCTTCTGGAGAATATGGATAATACTTACCAGCCTCATATGAAAATTAGGTGAAACAATTTATGAGTATTTCTTAGAGTGTGGAAATCTTGGATTGAAACATACTCCGGAAAAACAAGAGTGCTACACATATCCTGGTGTTTTTCAGGCATCAGCATTTTTATAGCCCCCTTTTTGGCCTTTCCATAGTTCTTCAGTGAACAAAGCAATATACATTCATAGCAAAAACTGTATCACAGCCATCATTTTTTACACAGAGAGCAGCAACATGTGAGTAATTTTGTTGTCACTGAGGCAAGTGGATACAAGCAAGCAAGGAAGGGAAAACAAAGAGAGAAGGACAAACACGCCCCCTCCTGGGAGGCAAAATTCCCAACAATAAGTTTTAAAAGAAAGTTTCTACCATTTAGGAAAGCAAGGTAATGTCACTTCCAACACAAAATAAAGAACTATTCATGTTCAGCTGTACAAGGCTGGAGCACAAGCATCGCATGCAAACACATAAAGGAGTAACTGCAAAATCCCAAAGAATAATTAATTTTAAAAGTAATTTAACTATTTACCTAATCTGAATTCTATCCTATTTCCACTTCCCATTACCAAGGCAAATACATGAGTATTTCAAGGCCTTTCTTAACAGAGTCATAGAGGACATCATTTAAACCTAAGATAACCTTGAGAACCATGAGATCTTGGAAGGCATAATGTCAGACATATTGCAGAAGTCAGGCAGTAAACCCAAATAATCTCCTACATCTAGTAGTTTGCAATCGTTTCCTCTAATGTTTCATTTTGACAAAATTTGTTGTTTATAAGTCCTCTTTCAGAGGTTTTTCAACTCTTGAGTCCTTCAGTGTTCAATAAATTGAATATTTAAGAAAGTAACAGAGTTGGTAAACAGCTGGAGGCAGGATTTGTCCAGTGAAAAGTACTGTCAGAAAGCAGATTTCAAAATGGTAGCATTAACAAGCAGCAAAGACACTCAGGAATTTTAGGCATTTCCAGCTCTTGATTAGTATGATTAAAAGAGCATCCAGACCATGGGAAAGGCAGATTTTGAATGTAGTCTGTTAGAAGATGATCTTTGGAAGGCCCACCTGTTGGGTTACCCCAGGTGATCAGTTACCCCATTTTTGCAGGTATACATACCAAGAACTGAAGCCACTTCATCCAAAGAAATGGTAGTTTTCTCTGTTGACAATGGATAATTTGGATAGCGAGCTAGAAACTTTTGGCACAAAAGTCCTAAGCTTTTCTGTTTTCTGCTGGGCCTCTGCTTTTCAAATTCATCAACCGTGGTGTCGTCTACTATATCATACTGTTAAAAAATAAATGTTAACCCTTTAGTGCAGAGCTTTAAAAGCAAGACATAGTCAAGAGAGGCATATTTCAGATGTTAGCAATATTTAAGCTCAGATTTTCTATTAAGGAAAAAAACCATGGACTTCTTGCAAGCACAGAGCACTTGGGTGACACTCAAGCTCTTTTTAATTCATCACACAAGATATCTACAGAAAAACTCTTATCTGCACTATCATGAAATAACAGTCATGCATAAGGAAAAAAACCAGTAATACCAAAAACCCAAGACTCGCAGATGGTAAGATCCTACTTGAAAAGAGTACTTCTTTTTGAGAAGAGACGGAATATTCCCTCAAAAAATTCTGGATCTAATAAGGCAGAAGATGCAGAAGACATCAAAGAGTTCCTGCAAAACCTCTTTCAAAAGATTTTGCTGCCCTTCACAGTGACTTTGTATCACTTTAAGAAACCAGTGCTTGGGGAAGGGTTGGGGGTACAATGCTAAGAGACTATAAAAGGCACTACCTGGTCTTTGAACCTTAAACTCAGTCAAACTGTTACATTAAGGAATTCTCTAAGATGGTCTGAATATGGTCTTTCTGTCCCTGAAGTGACAAAAAAAACCCCAACAACAAAACTGTGATGCCAAGAATATATGAAGAGGTATGTTTATTTATCACAAAATGAGAATGATGGAGGGTTTTTCTGGTAACCTTGGGGTTTTCTTCTGTGTCAAAAACGGGAAAATAAGTTTTGCCCTCTGGCAAAGAAAAGCTGAGGATGGTGGCCACATTTCCTTGTGTATGGGATCTCAAACTGTCCTTTGCTAGTGACTAAGTGACCTTGTGGCAGGCTGTTGCTCTGATAGAATTCTTTGAGTTTTATATGGTATCAAAATAGTAGTATTCTTACAGTAACACTTCTACTTCTTTTATAAGTTACCTTTCTAAGCGAAGAAGATTATTAAGTGTAAGTTTGATTAACTAGAAAATATTTGAACTCTTTATAGTAGTCACTCCAAAAATGCTGTGTGATCTTAGCAGCTCGAAGTGGTAATGAAGTAATCTTTAAAATCAATGATTTTTACTTACTGGATGCTATGTTAGGAATGATCTTTCGTTATGACCATGCAGAATTCTCTAGACTACTGTAATCACTGTACTTGCTGTAAAACTACACTTCCAGTGTGATCTGTGGCCTATCAAATGATCTTCTCAGCAGGAGGACCCTCGAACTATTTTCCTGTCACTGAAATCACCAGGGAAGGGTATTATACAGGAAATAATCCAGGAGAGGGAAAGTAGTGGTTGCAACAAAAAAAGAGTACGAAGGAAGAAAACTGTAATGATGATTACTACAACCTGATGTCATTTTCTCCAGGGACAGACTTCCCAAAGTGAGGACAAGGATCAACACCTGCATTGCCCAAGTCTCGGCAAGTAAAAATCTTCCTAACACTTGACCACTAGTCTGGGGACTGGGGTGGAAAGAGGGAGAAAGGTTTCAGCTGACCACTTTGCAGGGTTGTTGCGGACAAGGTATAAGATTTGAAAAGCATGCTCTTCCATTGTTGAATTTATTTTTGAAAATGATGCCTGTTTAAAACTGATCCGGCAATTTACTTTCTAATGTGGTTCAGAAGTACTAGGGAAAATGGAACATTTAAACTCTACTTCCTTCACTGTCCTTTTAAGTAATATTCAGGCTCTTGAGGGGTCTCAAGTCAGTTACTAGTAAGACAGTTGCTTTTAGTCTTTGGATGTCCTACTGCTCAGCCAGTGCTGTGTAGGCAACTGTACTTGGGAGTGTCTTATAATTCTGCAGTTTTCCATAGGGAGCAAAGGATTGCTTGGAAGAAAACTGAGGAACAATTTAAGGAAGGTCTGATTCCTAACTGAACATAAGGTAATTGTGTTCTGAGTCTCACCTGTAATGAATCCGGCGTGTCACTCTGCTCACTGTTTTCTATGGGTCTGAAGAGCTCTTTTTTCTTCTCTCTATCCCTCATGTCAGGGCTAGCAGCACTAACGAGCATCTTCAGGTTAGCAGTAGGGGTCCAGGGATCAGGCTGAGGTCTGTCAACGATCTTAACAGGTGTAATTGGATTTCTTTCCGGCGTGCAGCCTTTTTGCTTCGATAGATCAATTGGTTCATTCTTAATTGGAGTCTTTGGGGCCATCCTGGATCGATCAAATATGTTTTCCTATTAAAAACAAAGTTCTTTAGACACAACAGGAAACATTCCAACAATCAGTTTCACTGTTCTTATGAAGGTAATTGTAGTGACTCATGCCTTGATACTCATGGATATATTTAGCACAGTTCTTCTGCCTTTGTTGGAAGTGGTAAAATATTCTACATGCTGCTGTACTGCAGGAAGTGTATATGAGATACTGCCTTGAAATACAGAACCGGAGGTCAACGAATGCAATTTGTGGCCTATTAGGCTTTTAAACTCTGACTGTTATTACAAGACATCATTGCCCACAAACATAAATCACCAAATCGCAGCAAAACTGAAATAATGCACTGTTCATATTACACTTATCAAGAAAACACACTATTCTGTTTGAAAGGTCCCTAGTTAAAAGCCATGCTAGGGATGCAGCTCAAACTGTCATAAAATGTCAAACTGAAATGGATGTAACTTTACGTGCAAGTGAGAAAAGTTTTGCTCTGCACTGTCTGCTGCTCAAAGAAAATCTTCATAACTGTTCCTTGACTACAGCTAAGAGCTGCCAGAAGGAAAAGTCTAATTCATCAGCTGATCTTTATCATTCCCTGAATGAAGCTCAACTCCTTCCAGTCCCTAGCTGCAATCAAACTTTTTTCATATTTCCTCTTGGATCCAATTTTACCCCTTTCCCTTATTTCAAGAATTATCACTACAGATCAACTCATTTCAAGGGACTGACCGAAGGAAGCATCAGTGGTATCCTTAAGCTGAGATCTGTTTTTTGGGCAACAAGAAACACTACTTCACTCTAGCCTATTAGTGTAAATCGCTAATGAAGATTCAAGGAATTAGGTAAACAGGATGCCATGTTGGCTTTCTTTGCAGGATATCAAAAACTGTGACCTAAATATCCTAAGCCTGGTACAGAACAGGACTTCCAGAAATACCCATGCAGAAAGTTGCACTGTTTCTTCTTGCCCAGGGAAATCAATGTTCTGTTTAGATAGTTCAGATATCACTTAATTCCTCTCAATACCCTATAAACAGGACACTGTTTTCTGGAACTGTAGCTAATATTGTTCAGCGGTTTCTAGATTTACTATGCACCTTGAGTGAAGTGAGACAGAAAGCAAACTGAACAGACTATCAGCAGAAACCCAGAAGAGGTTATAATTTGCTGTAATGGGCAATGAAGCCTTTGAAATCACAGTAAACTGCTTTTAATCTAAAATTCAGGTTTGAAGTTATTAACTCTTCAGTGTAACTGTGGCTTTTTGGTCTCAAATTGAGCAAGTCTTCCTGTTTAGATTAAGATTACTGCTTCATTTTTTTCAAAATTAGTTTTAAAAGTCTAACATGACAACTTTGAGGTTGGATATTTTGTGTTGCAACAAATCCAACTCAGAAATGGCAAAAAAAGCCAATTAATATTAAATATTAAGTTATACTGGTTTGCTGCAAGAACTTTCCTAAGTTTTGCCTTTTCTTTAAAATAATTTAACTATTCACTAGCTGAAATAGATATTTAAATAGGTGATGCCAAAAATCATCCTAACATCATCTCCTTTCTAGCTAGAAAGGAGAAAAAGTTTTAGTAACAATTGAAACTGGCTTTTACTAGGAGCAGTTTTGTAGCATTCAAACTGGAAACAAATTTGGTACATCAAAAGCACTGTTCTCCGAGCACTGATGAAGAGCACTTCTGCGTATGTTCATCTATGAATGACCCAAAAGGATATAATAAATACATCTCATTTTACAATTAACAGTCAGCCAGTTGTAACTTACTATACTGTGATAACTAGGGGTCAGTTTAGAGGCCATGATACTTAGAATGTATGTTCACATCATGATGGCACTCAATATATTCTCGCAATTTCATGTTTGGCAGTGAATCAGCACTTAAGGAATGGAGAAGATCTACCTTCCCATCAAGTTCCTGTTCACTGTCGCTAGTGGTAATGGAACTGCAGTGGGGGCAACTGAAACTGCTGTTTCAGCACCTCAAATTTTCATGTTTGCGCAAATATCACAGTGAAAAAAGTAGTGGCTCTACATGAAAAGCGTGTCTACTCCTTTTCAGATCTTTATTTCCTACTATCATGATTACCTACTAAGGTAAGAAACACTTTTACCCTCTCTCCCTTTTTTTTTCAGTAGCTGCAATGCTACACCATCTCCATCCATCTGTATCGCACAAAACTGCAAGGGCAGTTGGTGGAAGTATGAGATTGACCTTGATTCAAGCAGAGATAGCTTACGATTACAAGACGACTGGAAAGGCTTAATGAACTTACTATGTAAGCAAGAATTCAAACAAATCTGAGATAACAGGAGTGGAATCTGACAAGAACTACGTGATCTTTGGAGGACTCAACCGAGCATGGACAGCAGGTCATGAATTGCGTCTAGTTCAGGAGACATTACTGAGCAAGGTTATGCCCGAGACTAGATATCTTGTCTCCTGGCTGGTGAGGCAGTAGGGGAACAATGAGCTTGTTTCTCCTGAGTGGCCCCTACTCAGCCTCTTGACTTGAGAACACGGCTTTATGTATACAGACCAGAAGGCAAGCAGAGTGGACATGTGCATATGCACAGCCAAAGTGGTGCTAAATAACAGGATCATACAATTCCCATGTCAAGTTAGGGCTGGTGGTTCTTACCTTTAGAATGGTGAGTTTCTACAAGAGCCCACCACCTTTCCACATGGTAGCCATTGGGATGCTTGAGATCACTTAGTGAGTTTGACTTAGGTGAAAGCTAAAGTGTTTCCCTAGGAGTTAGTGCCAGAGTGCAATAACTTCACTTACTGACAAGGGTGGCATGACTCGGAGTTCTTTCACTGCATTGTCCCTTTATCTTTAGGGTAGCGTTGGACACCCCAGTGCTCCAAGTGCTCACAGGTAAGATGCTGCTGTGCAGACCAGCATAGCAGGGCAGAGTAGGTCCGATGCGCAAACCCCAAACGCTGCCCAGGGGAGGGAGAGGAGCCTGAGCCAGGGCCCGAGCCATCTCCCAGCCTCCTGGATCGTGGCCCTGCACTCGCCCGCCGGTCCCGCCGCCCTCCTTCCCTCCATCCCTCCCTCCTCTCCGCACAGTGCCCGGGCCGGCGCGGGGCTCCGGTGCAACGCGTGCAGGGAACTCGCGGCGCCGGGCACCGACCGGCCCGTGCCCGCGCCCGCCCGCTCACCTTCTGGGCCGCTTCGGCGCGGCCCCGCCGCCCCGGCCGGACGCTCGCCAGATCCCGCAGCGCCAGGACGCTCACCTCCATCTGCAAAGCGAGAAGGCGCCCTTAGCCCGGCCCTTGTGAGGAGCCGCTCCCGTCCCCAGCGAGACGCGAGGGGAGCGCGGAGCCGGGGCTGCGCTCCCGGGCAGTCGGGCAGGGAGCGGGGCAGGGAGGGGGAATGAGGGAGGGGTGGGAGTCTCCGCGGGCTCCGCGCCCTCACCGCGTCCGGCGCCGGGGCGCGCGGGGGGCGCGCAGCTGTGCCGCTCCCGCCAGGCGCCCTCAGACATCGCTTTACAATCCGGCCAATCAGGCGCGGCCGCCGGGGAGCCCCGGCCGCGCCGCCGGCCAATCAGCGCGCGGGCGGGCGGTGCGCGGCGTCGGGCGCGCGGGACGGGGCTCCCGCCCGCGCGGGGCCGTTTCGCTCCTTTTCTTGGCGCTGCCCGCCCTCCCCCGCGCGCGCCCTTCCCGCCGCCGGCCCCCGCGCCGGGCGGGAAAGGGGCGGCGGGCGTCTGTGCCAGGGGGAGCCGGGCTGGCTCCTGCCCGGTGCCTCTGGATCCGTCCGTAAATTTGAGAGAGGGGACCAAGGGCTGAGCCAGCGGCAGGCGGGTGCCGCCTCGGTCGCCCGGTCACCGGCTCGCAGAAAGCGGCGCGTGGGTGTCCGCGCCGGGGCAGCTCCGCAGCCCGGGCTGTGGTCGTGCGGCACAGCAGCCTTGGGCAGCCCGGACAGGCTGTGATCCTCCACCGACAGCCCCTGAAACGAGCCTGCTGCCCGGAAGGTAAAGCGAGCAGGCGCCATGGGTAGCGGTCTGGACACAAGAGACTTTTCGCTTTCTCCTCATATCAGCCTGCTCTGTGGTTTTCCCTCCCTTGGTACCTCGCAGCCTACCGACATAAGGGAAGAACTGGGAGAGAACCTTGTCCGAAGTTAACACATCAAATCCTGGCAGCCTGTGGAGCTGTGCAGTGATGAGTTTTCAGTTGTATCCGTTTTGACTATGCAGACAATATTAAAAAAAGGGTAGGAAATTGTCAAAATCATAGCTTTCTACTGTGCACAACTACTTCAGACCTGAAAGTGATTGCTCTAAGCTTGAGGCACTTTCTTGAGAAATTTGCTTTGTGCGGTGTAATTAACTTTGCTTTTTAAAGTGCGTTTGTACTTAAGATCGTTTTGTTTTGTTTTGTTATGATAATGGCAGACATGCAGTTGCATTATTCCTGTCTTGTTGTGAGAGGGTTTCCTTCTCAACAGTTCATGAGTTAGTAATGAGTTGTCACAGAAGAAAAAATCCAATGCACAGTTCTGATTATAAAAATACTAATTTGGTAATTTTTGAGGGACATACAAACTTTCTTTTCAGTAGGGATGTAGAAAACAAATAGATACTAAATCTCTTGCATTAACTGTAATTTATTTGCTTTTAATGTACTCTGATTTATTTCTTTTCAGCAAGTTCCAGTATACCACAGTTTGCTGAAGAGATTGAAATATAAACTCTAAAAGAACTTCTTTTTATAAAAAACCCCCACAAAACAACCAAAAACTATACAAAAAAGCCCTTCAAACTTTTTAAGCCTTAGTCTTCCTATTGTCTCATCATCATCATCATGGCTAGGCTCCGCGAGTGGAGATTTGGAAAGGGCTCTACCCACGTTTGTTACAAGCGCGCTGGTGGCTAAAAAGGCCAATATGAGATAGACATGTCTGATTGCAAAAGGCACAGCAGAAGGACTCCTTAGGTGGTATATTCTGCAAGACAAGATTCTTTCTGCGTTGTCTTCTCAGGAGTGATCCTGCATGCTTTCCTATTGTCTAGAGGAACATTAATTACGTAACTGCAAAGTATGTATCTTAGTAGCTATTTGCAGATATGTAGAAAGAGACATTTCTAAGGTGTAAACTGTTACTGCTGCTGTCACTCACAGGAACTCTGAAAACAGACTCATGAGAATTGTAAGATATGCAGAGTCATGGAAAATCTGAACAAGAACCTTGCCTTGAAGACGTGCCCAGGCATGCACTCTAGGCTGAGGTAAAGAAGTTGAGAAGTGAGTTTAGCAGCTAAGTTGCTTGTGTGCTGAAGTCCCAGTGATAGGAAATTGCCATCTGGCCCCTTTAGTCATCTACTTAAAGTGACATAGAAAAATACATTCTCAGATCCTTATCTTAGATCTGTCACAGGAATTGTGTATCCATTGTCAATTAATAACACCTACTATAAGGTATTATATGCAGTGAAAATTTAATAGGTCTAACTGCATTTGCAGCTCTAGCACAGAGACTTTCTGGTTAAGACTTTAGTGGTGCTTAGGACCTTAATATTTGAGTCACTTGCTGAAGTATCATGACAAGTGCATGTAGAAGGTCATTTGATCATTACAATGATTGCTTCTGGCCTTTGAAATCTGGTAATTTATAAGCCATTAACCAAAATATCCCTATGTTGGCATGAGACCTGTGAGGCCTAAGTCCCAATACCTGTCAACATCAACTACAGGCTGTGTAGGCAATGGGGCACATTCTGCTTGAGATATTAGACTGGAATGGATCTGGGGCCTTAAATGACACTCAAGACTTGTGACTTTTCTTACTTTAGGTTAAGGATGCCTCTGAATGTAAATCGCGTTACTATTAAAGCTCTCAAGTCCTCAAGGGAGAACTAATTTGAATCAAGTTTGACACCTTCATTTAATTTTGCTATGGTTTTACATGCACAGTATTCCTGGCAGCAGAACCATGTACTGCTTGAAGGACGCTGGCTGAAATTTATGTAATGGCTGTTCTGGAAAAGCCATGATTTGTTGACGATGAGACAAGTGAGTCAGATCTCTGATGGGCTGGAAGCTTGTGAAGTGAAAATCAGCTCCAGAAGGTGTTGTGGAGCTCAGCATGAGGATGAGAAGCAAAAAAGTAGAGTTGGAGGGTGAGAGGCGTCACTTCTGTGCTTAAGGGGGATGCTGGAGCCCACTCTGGCACTGGGTACAGTAAGGCGTATGAGTCACATACATAGACTAAGGTGGGAGAAGTGAGACATAGCACCACATGGGCAGCTGTGGGACCTGCAGTGGGTGTGCAGGCACTCTGGGTGCTGGTTTAGTCTGAGGAAATTGTGAGTATTTAGCCTGGAGAAGCTCCTTTCATGGAAGGTATTGGCAATGATTTGGATTCTTCTGTATAGGAATTCTTCTGTAATATGGAAGCAAGAATGTTCAGAATTAACATATTAATATGAAGCTGTTACAAAAAGTGAAGAACGTATATAAAATAAAAATATATTTTGTTATTTTTTATATGATTTTATATATAAATATATTTGCTAAGCAATGCTAATCTTTTCCATAAGATGAATACACAGTATTGTAATGCATTTAATTCTTTGTTCAGTGAAATAAACAAAAATCCAGACCTCTGATAGTGAAGTGCAAACCCTAACTGGTAAACTTGTGAGTTAATCATAACAAAACTATGACACTACATTTCCTTTTCTATCTGTAGGAGCTGAAAGAAGGTAGCTGATTATCAGATAAGATTAATTGTTGCAGCCATACACACATATATCATAATATGCTCCAAGATGATTTTTACATCTATCTCTATATGCACAGGTAATCTACTACAACTGGCAGGAATAAGTTAACAAACTGACTACTAAATTTAAGCTCAAGTGCCTGTTCTTGAAGGATTTTTTATATAATTTTTTACAGGACCAAAAACCACTATCTGACTATTTATGATTTTGAATGAATGATACATGGACTAATATATATATTTTATTTAACATGAATATTATTAAGAATTAAGCATTCCCATTCATTTCTTTCTATTTGTTTCTAGACTTGAAAATACAGTATTTTGTGCAAGGTAGCAATGAAGGTGCCAATTCTTTGTGATAGAAAGGCAATAACTTTGGCAGAGGAGATGGATAAAACCAAATCATATCAATGTGTTCAGCAGTACTTTTCATCTTGGAATAGAAAATAGTTTTTAAGGTCTTTAAACCTGTATGACTTTTTGTAATGCAAAAAACGATGGGCCAAAGACCCAATATTTCTTCTCTTTTCTCTCCTCTTCCCAGCTGCCTTTTTCTATGCACTCAGTCATGATGGAAAATTATATTTCTCTTTCTGTTTTGGCTGATATTTGAAATTTCAGCTCGACAGCTAGGAGTGAGGAAGAGACAGATCCCCATACAGATCAAATTATGAGCCTTTATTTCCATTAAAAGCCAGATCGAGTCACCCAGTGGCTGAGTCATCAGGGAATCTGTACACCAGTGCTCTCATCAGTGAAGGTAGTGGCATGCCCAGTGTCTGTTGCAAGCTTCTGCTGGCTTAGGTATCATCTCCTCCCTGCAGCAGCTTGGAAGTTATCACCCTTCAAGGACCTCAGGCTGCCTGGGGCTAGGCATGTTCTGCACTGGCATGGGCACTTGACATTCAAGAACAGCCAGAAGAGGTTGCATCAGGAGTGATTCTATGGACATGTGGCATCAGTAGCTGTGGCTAAAATACAGAAGCAGGACTGGGAGTGGGACCTGGACCCAGCAAGGCCCTTCTCCCACCACTGTGCTTTTAAAGTTTGCATTCACTATGAGGCAGAGCCCCTGCTCTGAGAGGAGGGACAAGTAAACTACAGCTGGGTGGCTCAGTTAAATGACAGGTAAGATATGTACATTGAAAACCATTCCAATAGAGGAAGGTGTTGAATGAGTCTCAGCATTTTCTGAGTGCTGTAGTTGCTTAACTGCTCTACCAATATCATTGCTTTGTCCCTTGGCTTTGTCTTATCTATAAAAATAGTAGGTGATATCCCTGGACTCAAATCAAGGAAGGCGCTGATGATGCTTAACCTGAGGCTACAAGTTGGTAGAAGGGCTTCAGATCTTTGGTATTTCCCATTGCCTAATTCAGGTGCCATCCTGCTGAGGGTTGCAGATTCACAGGAGGCAGCTGACTGTTTGCCTAGTGGATAGTGTAGGCAGGCGCTCCAGCTGGTTGGAAAAATCCCTTCCAGCAGTGGAGCAACTGGCAGGGCCATGTCTCGGTCCTTTTATGGGTCTGATGTCAAGAAACCTGCCAAAGGTCACATAAGGAAGGAGGTAGCTCACTAAATCACATGGTCTTTGAATCAGCTTTGCACCTGAAAATAATTTTCAACTGCTGCTGTTAAAAAATCCTTCACTCAGGATTGCATTGCATTCCTGATGATTATTGCATACTGAAATTAA